GAAGAAGAAGAAGAAGAAGAAGAAGAAGAAGAAGAGAGAGAGAGAGAGAGAGAGAGAGAGAGAGAGAGAGAGACAGAGAGAGAGAGATAAATGGAGAAACCAAGAGGAGGAGAGAAAATACCGTGTGAGACGTTGAAACGTTGCAGGGTATAAGGCAACGTGGTGAGCACGACTGCACTGGCAAGAGGCGAACGTACGGACCGTCGGATGGACGGAGCACGCCGGGTATACGGCGTGAGCGAGGAAGCGAGAGGTGTCCGCGAAGCCAAAGTGAGGGAAGAGAGTTCGAGATATAGTCGAAAGCGAATATCGGAGCGAGAGGAGAACCGACGGAGAAAGAGACTCATTCATCTTGGCGCGCCTAGCACGCCTGTGATTGGTCCACCTTGGATAAGGCCGCACCACGATTGGACGGCTCTGTTTACCAGCTGGTACCCCGGCGCGCTCCAGACTCGTAGAAGAGAGGGGGGAACAGAACGGAGAGACAAGCGGCGCCATTATTGTAAGGGGTTACATTTAGCTGGCCGTGGGTTGTAGTACGCGGCGTTCGGGATAGGGGGCTATAGTACCTTCATGCATGGCCCATAAAGGATTCGTCGACTATCCGAGAAGTACGCAAGAAACGGCTTCTAACACCTGACAGGGGCCACGGCTCTTCTCTTCTCTCTCTCCTCGTGCCGTCGCCGGGTTCACCGTCGCCCAATTTCCGAGCTGGGACCACGATTGGGTGGGCCCGGCGAGAAGAAGGACCCATTGCTTTATCGCCGATTCTCATTCTGATACGGATGGATTCATAATCGGAAGACGCGATTACTTTGGAGGCAGGATACAAATTCGAATGCGCGAGGATTCGGCGATTCTCCGCATAGTATCGAATCTTGTGATCGAGAAGAAGGACCGTCATGTCATTTGCCATCGCGGACAGTCGGTGATTCGTGGTCAGTCGTCCCTGGTGACCGCATCCCGCCGTCTTCGGTATTGTTGTTGTGATAATGTTGTGTCGAGTTGCGTAAGTGGCAATAAAAGTGGACGTTGATTGCTGATAGGGGAAGCGATAGTGGACGCGCGCGGAAAGGCAAATAAGGCAAGCGGCGGAAAAGATTTCCGAGCGGGAAAGCAAGGAAAGTGTGCGCGCGAACGAGAAACGTTCCCCGAGAGCGAGAAACGTTCTTCCTATCGTTATCGAGAGAGACTCGAGTGTTCTCTCGTAATCCGTGCTAAATTACGGATTACGCGATGAGGCAGCAGCAGCAGCAGCAGCAGCAGCCGGTGGTGGACGTGTCGCCACGGTGTCGGTGTTGAGACACAGCCCGGGCGTGTCTTCGGCATCAGGTCCGACACATCGGCACCGACACAGGCGATATGAGTACGAAATTCATAATTGATAGTATGCTACCTGCTAAGTACCAGCAATTTCACCCTCAACAGTTGTTTTCAAGCGCGACTCCAGGTACCATTCAGGCGTGTACGACGAGTCCGGCAACCGCGAGCCTAGAATCGAGTTTATCCGCGGCTGCAGTAGCGGCCGCGGCAGTCAATTACGCACAGCAGCACAATTCACCGAGCCCGACGGGTTCGAGCCCTCAGCACTCGGGAAGCTCCGCTTCTACGTCACCGGCGGCACGTACGACATCCAGCATGTATCCATACGTGTCCGCCGCAGCGGCGCATCATCATCATCAGCAACAGCAAGCGGTCGCGGCCGCCGCATTCGGCGCTACGTCCAGCATGGTACCCGGTTTCGGCTCCACGGCGGCATCCAGCGCTGCCCTGGCCGCCGCCGCCGCGGTAGACGCCGCGACCGCCGGCGACAAATCCTGCCGTTACACAGCTAGTCTGACCGGCAATGTGGCACCTGCATCGGCCGATCCTATGGTTAACTATACCCTGGGCCACCATCATCAAAACGGCGCTACACCCGGTAGCCTTGTTTCCTCCGCGTCAGCATCCTCGGCCGTGTCAGCCGCTTCGGCGTCTATGGCAGCGGCGGCACAGTTCTACCATCAGGCGGCTGCCGCATCGGCTGTGGTCGATCCTTTGACGTCCTGCCAACAGCCCACCACTGGTCAACCTGGAATCTCGGACATACCTCGGTATCCATGGATGTCGATTACCGGTGAGTAGTCTTTCTTGTGTCTCGTTAAATTTGCCATTTTTACGTTCTTTGCCTTTTAAGTTTCCTTTTAACCTTTCCTTTTAACTAAACTCCTTACGTGGTTCATCTTTTTTCTCTATCTGTCTATTCTTTTTCTCTATTCTCTATTCTTCTCTCTCGTTGAAGAAAAAAAAAAGGAAAAAGATGAACGATGCCAGAAGTTCAGCTAAAAAGAACGGGTCTTTTATTAATGCTTATTGATTATTTTTGGATGTGTAAATGTATAAGTAACATGTTGTAACAAAAATTGAAATTATATTATTATTGTATTGCATGTTATGGATAGTATGAATAATGAATAATTTTTTGAGAAGTACATTTATACAAAATTATGATTTTATAATTTTAGATAATTATTTATAGCGATTTATCCATGCTTTAGATACGCTTTTCAACTACATGACATTTCGGATTGGTTCTTTTATTTCTAAATATTTTTAGAGCCAAATTATTAAATAGAGAATTACAGTAATTATATAAATTTAAATGTAATTATTACGTATCTAATTTGTATTTGAATTTTATTACCAAATGTTTATTTCAATTACATAATAAATTATTTAAACGGTATAAACAGCACATACATAAATATTTTTTAAACTTTCTAATAATATATAGATTAAATATTGTTACATAT